ACTCTTGGTGTATAAGGCTGATTCCATGTCTCCTGCGCCAGATCTCTTTTAGCTATACTTTTCAAAAACAACTACCTATCTAAATCAATAAACTCGATTGAATTATACTAACAACGCTAAAAGTTAACAGTCAAACTACGACCACCTGGCTTTCCTAATCAAATTTTCATCGTTGAGGCAATCATCCAATATTTGGACTTGCTTTCACATAAATTGAATTTAAAACAATAAATTCTTAAGATGGTTTTCCAAAGAAAACAGTGGTTTTCAGAACCTTTTCTAAACCAAAATCATCGAAATCGTGGCTGAGTTAGTGTGTTTGCTGCTTTTCAACGATATCTCTTCCAACATATGAAAAAACAATTATATTGCATAAGTGTATGGAGATCTTTTTATGAGACACAGCTCACTCGCACTTAAATAAGAATGGCCTTAAACTGTAACCATATTCAATTTGAAGTATCAGTTCCTTAGTCTATTCGTTTCTTTTGCATATTTCTTTTCCCCACCTCTCCTATCTGGGGCAGCATTTATAGTTAAAAGGTTGGGATGTACTTGCAATATTCGGAATTCACGCAAAGACGAGTTCCCATTTGCAACCTGGGAAAATTACACTGGAGGAAAAAGCAGACTCCTTCTTGAAATTATATGGTCATAGTACTTACCGATCGACATTGAAGGTAACTCATAGATTGGGCAGTTGGAAGACAGTAAAGGACTATTCCAAGTTTTTCTTAAAGAATGAAAAAGGGGCTTAGAAAGCGCCTATCTGAGATGAAAAAGAATGGATTGAAGCATGAAAAACGAAAACGCTCATCTGAGAGTTCGTTATCGCCGGATCTTTCGGAATGAGCCACGTGTTGTACTGTAGATGCGAATGAACAAATCTGCTAGACTATACAAAAAAGTCGTCTTAGTTGAAGTCATTTTACTGTTGTCAATAGCCAATAGACAGATTTATGTTTAGGACAACTTTCAAAGGCACAATCTTAGCTCTTAACCAGCGATTCTTGCATGTCCATTCTTGATTGCAAAAATTAGTCAAATCAAGAATCCAATCAGGTTCTCTCATTACAAGTTTGGTTAGGGAAATCAGAGATTCGTAGAGCCCACTTTACATACAAGTTCATTGTGAAAGTGCTTAGTTCCTATCTCGTTCCCATTCAGATCAAGTTCTAGCTTCATTCATTCTGCTTTCAGTTTTGTTCGCATGTTAGTTTCACTGTTGCTACTTTAGTCATCTAATGTTTATCTGGCTATTAATCTCCACATACTTTTTGTTTAGTGACAGCGCAAATGAACATACCACCGCCAAAGATCCCGAAACCTGCAGTAGATGAAGATGCGAGCAATACAATACAGTCTACCGAGGAGAATTCTCAGGGTGAGGTATTTGCATTCTGCGAATATTGCTTGTCCTGTTTTACTGAATGGTTTGCTTGAATAAGAATAAGAGGGAGCATATAAGTCTTTACTTCTGTGACATCTCTTTATTCTTCTTTTAATCTACAAGTTTTTCTCCAGCCACTAGACTGCTACTATAATTAGCCTTTTTTTGGAATTCGAATTGAAAATTTGTTAGTTACCATGTTTTAGATTCAAATACGGCT